GACGTCTCGTCCCGCTTGCGGGAACGGCGTGATTCGTGCACAAAGAAGAACAGATGCAGCGGAAAAAATGCAAATCATGAACACGACCCCTCGCGGATTGCTACACAAGGTCTCGCACGGATTCCCACGCGGCGCCGGCGCGAGTCGTGGCGTGACCGGGCGGGGGAAGGGGGGAGGCGGGGCCGGTTCGGGGTGGGATCGCGAGTGGTGCAAAAACGGGCTCTTGTTTGGTCCCCCCCTCTTCCTCCTCCTCCTCCTCCTCCTCCTCCTCCCCGGCTCTTCCCTAGAGGCTTTGATCTCTTGTTTGCCTGGCGATGTTGCACATCTTGGCGTACCCGAGCGGATTCGGTTGCAGCTCCGCGCAGGTGCAGTCCTAGTCGACGCAGAGTTCGAGTCGATCCGATTTCCCGATCCGATTCTGACGGATCCAGTCACGGGAGAGGTCCGAGGAGTCGATCTCGGATCAGTAGCGAAGCACATACGCATTCGAACACTACATTCACATGGGTTTCGAGAACGTGTTACGCGAACTTTCGTGACATGTGAGTGGCCTCGCGAACTGGGGGCCCTATTCTTTTACGTGGCTGGGCGTGTATGTTTTCTGGAGCTCCCGATTTGAGGGAGGGTGGGGCGAGACTTCTGGTGCCGCGAACAATCGAGGCGGACATTTCGCAAGCTTGGGCAACTGGATGTTGCGTTTCGGCCGTAGGATCATAAACAAATGAAGTGACTTGCTCGTGCTGTTCGCTGCCATGCAATTTTGTTTCACCACGTCGCGATGGGCTGAGACCGTGAGCGGCGCGCGTGGCTTGTCCAGTTGCCTGCGGCAACCCCCACCCTGATGCCAGCGCGGTAAGAATGACGTTGAGGTTGAGACCCGCTCCAGTTCGTTGTACCGTCTGAGCTAGTCCGCGTCTTGGACGCCTTCTCCTTTTCCACAGCCTCGTTCTCACCGTCGTTCCTCCTTCTCCCTCTCCCTCCTCCCCCTGTGAAGGCATCCTGGAGGCCTCTTGGAGGCCCCAGGAGGTCCAGAGAGGGCCAGGAGGCGTCCGAAACTCTTGACCACCGGTCCTGGCCGGGGCGACCCTGTCCGAGCCCGGGAGGCGTGCTGCACAACCGACCCCTGGCCCATCGAAGACCTTTTGTCAATAATTAGGAAGGGCAGAGATCGGCAGGTTGTCCGCTCGGGCCACAATCTTTGCATCCATGGCAGTTCGCCAACATGTGGGTCACTTCAAGCACGCAACGTTTCCATTCATAACTGTCGCAGTGGGAGAAGAGAAGAACAAAAACAACAGACCCTGGCCCAGTATCGGCCCTGGCCAGGATTGGCGCGTTTTCTTCGGCCACGGCGTGGCGTGTCGCAGTCAGCAAGTATTGCGATGCCACGTGATAGTGGCTATGTGCTCATGTGCGTTTCGTACTCAGCATTTGTTTGCTTGCTGGCACCCGCCGGTAGGAGGTGGCCTTGCCAGTTGTTATCTCAGATCGACTCAGCGTCGACCCAAGTGTTTCTTGCAAGCAGAGGTGGAGTGAACCCTCCCTGTTAGGCCAGGCGGGCATATACACCGGTTCTGTGCCCAAGATTGATTGGCCTTGCAAGGGTAGATGTGGTTGGTCTCGCGGCATCCGCCGTTATGAGTTTCTTCCATCCGCGGCCTCAGAGGTCTTGTCCGCTTTCCTGGGGTAGCTGTTCCTCCTGGATCAGTTTTGGATGGTTCTGGCGTCCGAAAGCGTATCCCGAGGGCCGAAATCGAGGAACAATCCCAAGTCAAAGCAACGTGTCGTCGGAGGTGTGGGTCGACATACCCCAGACCGACCCTCGATCGACCGATCGATCATCAAGCAGCGGTGAAGCGTCCTGACTTGCTTGAATGCCCACACGCCAACAACAATTATGGACATTTTCTTTTTCTCGGAGCATTTCTGGCTGAACAGTCCTGTTTTGACCCACCGCTTGCGTGTTCTAAGAACATGGTGGTTGTTATTCAAACGTTTTTCTCTTCTCAGATCAGGCCGTCCCAGATGGGGTCCGACTAGATGGCTTCGGAGGATCGCGACGCATCGCCGATGTATTGGTGATACGACTCGATGTGGAGTCCGATTTTCTCCACGCCGACGTCGCCGATGCATCGCTGACGTCGCCAGTACATCGCCGATGCATCGGCGATATCGGCGGTGCATCGGCGATGCGGCGCGATCCTCTGGCCCCATCTACTCGGACCCCATATGGGAGGCCTCTGTCCGAACCTTCCTGGGAGGCCCGTCAACCCAGAGATCCGGCGCTCCCAAAAAATGGGAGCGGGCGGTTTTTTCCGTTTTCGGCCTCTGGGGACCCTCGCCGGGCCTCGGGAGCGCGCAACAACGACTCGGGACGAGAAGCCGGCCCTGGGGAAGTGGTCCGGACGCATCAACAGAAATTGGAGCAGCCGGGTGTCTGGGAACACGCCAGGACGGTCGACCCCTTGCGCAGGATCGACCGGTCGTCAGCAGCGGCGCCCCCTCCCCCCCTTGGCCGCGAGGCGGCCCTCCTTTTGGGAGCCGCCGAGGGCGCCCCAGGCCGCCCGCCACGCGTGCAGCCTCCCAGCTGCGCGCGCGGGCGGCGGTCGCCGCGGAACAGCAAAACGGCGCGCCCGGGGGGGTTGGGGGGAGTGGCGCGCCCAGGGGGGCAACTGAGATCAGGCGATCGCAAGCATGGATGAATGGGGGCGTGGATGAGCGACGGGGCCCGTTTCCACGGGGCAAAGCGCGGATTTCCGTCGCCGAGCGAGGCGGCACTGGCCGCATTTTGGGGAGGGCACCTCCCGCGCTTCATGGATTGGCGACCGCGCGCCAAATCCATGGATCGCTAATCCATGCTTGCGCGCCCCCGATGGGGACAACTGAGAGGTGGTATGCCATCTTGGAAGGCGGCGGGGCTTCTCAGATGCCCTCCAGTCCTCTGCGAAGCCGTCCGTGTCTCTGGAGAAGGCTTCGGACACTTTGCAGAAGGCGGGGGGCCTTCCAGGCCTTCTGAGAAGGCCCGCCCCCTGTGACTTCCCCCATGGGCTCGCTGCCGAGGGAAGCCAGGGGCAACTTTCGTTTCGAGGCTCGAGGTTTTCGGGCCTCTCGGTAGGTCCTCGCTGCTTTTCTTGCCTCGGGTTATGATGCTCCAATTTATTTTTGCTTGCACTACCAGAAAGAATTTCGAGCACCAAGAAAGTACCGAAACTGGAGGGTTTTCACGTGTTGGGCCCTGGGAGGCGATATTTGTTCGACACTTTTTCGATACTTTCCTGGGAGTTCGAAATTATTTCTGGGATGTGGTCCTTATGTGCGATGGGAGCAACATAAGCCTCGGGGTGCTCTCCAGGAGCTGCGCCTCTCCGAGAGCGTTCAGGGGGGTGCTGGAGCGTCCCGAGCGGCCGTTGGAGGCTGGAGTGATGGCCGAAGGCCAGGGAACGGAAGGTCAAGGGGTAGGCTCAGAGAAGGAGCAGGAGCTGGAGGAGGAGGAGGAGGAGGTGGAGGAGGAGGAGGAGGACGAGGATGAACAACACCAGGAGCGTGAGAAGGATTTCGTATTGGAAGGGAGAGGAGGAGTGAGATGATGATGATGATGATGAGGAGGAGGAGGAGGAGGAGGGAGGGGACGAGGAGAGAGACAGGGAGGAGGATGATGATGAGGAGGAGGGGGAGGTGGAGGAGGAGGAGGAGGAGGAGGGAGGAGGACGAGGAGAGAGACAGGGAGGAGGATGATGATGAGGAGGAGGGGGAGGAAGAGGAGGAGGAGGAGGGAGGAGGAGGAGGGGGAGGACCAGGAGCAAGATTAGGGGGAGGGGACCACGAGGATCAGGATGAGGAGGATGACGAGAAGGAGGAGGATGAGGAGCGAGAGGAAGTGAGAAGGGGAATGATGATGATTATGCTGCTGATGATGGTGATGATGATGATGACTGTGTTGTTGTTGGTGGTGGTGGTTGTGATGATGATGATGATGATGATGATGATGGTGGTGGTGGTGGTGATGATGAGGATGGTGATGACGATGACGATGACGATGACTAGGACGAGGACGATGATTATGACGATGACGATGACGAGGACGAGGACGATGATGCTGATGATGCTGATGATGATGACGACGACGATGACGATGACGATAATGATGAAGGCGATGCTAATGATGATGATGATGATGATGATGATGATGATGATGATGATGATGATGATGAGGAGGAGGAGGAGGAGGAGGAGGAGGAGGAGGAGGAGTTGGAGGATGATGATGATGAGGAGGAGGATGAGGAGGAGGGGGAGAAGGAGGTAGTTCAGTGGGGGTGGGCGAGGGCGAGGGCGAGAAGGAGTCTTACGTGGCTGCAGGGGAAGAGTGCGACGATGACGATCACGGAAAGCTCGATGACGACGCCGAAAACGCAGGCGGATCAGAAGCAGCGGGACGCTCGAACACTCTTAGGAGCCACGTTGGCTCAAAGAAACTCTGTTTGGGGATATTGGACTGTGTCCAAAATTTTTAGACCAATGTGCGTGGCGCTGCGGCGAGAGCCACATGTTGAAAACAGCCGACCCTCATCCGTGAAGCTCTTGCAATTTTGCGACGATTGCGCGCGGCGCTAAGGTCCAGCTTAAGGATCAGAAGTGGTGAGGAAGTCTCAGGCGAAACGCCCGGCCAGCCCTACTGACACAGCTCGGGGTGCGACAGGGAGGGGTTATCTACAAGGACAAGGCATGGAGGAGGAGGGTTGCGGCGATGGTCCCGACGGGGAACGGCGGCGGGGACGACGATGGCGACGCCCCCCCTCTCTCTCTGTGCCTCTCCCTATCCCTCTTTCTCGCTCTCCCTGTCCCTCCTTCTCCCTCATCCCTCTCCCCATCCCTCCTTCTCCCTCCTCCATCTCCCTCTCTCTCTCTCTCCCTCATCCCCCTCCCTATCCCTCCTTCTCCCTCCTCCCTATCCCTCTCTTTCTCTCCCTCCTCCCTCTCACTGCCCCTCCTCCACCCCCCAGGCGCCCACCTGGAGCCCGGCTCTCGCAGGACGGCCGTGGCCCGCCGCCGCCCGTGGGGGGACCCGCCCCCGCCGCCGCCCAGGGGTGCCCTCCCCCCGGCGGGTGGCGGCGGCCAGCGGCGCCGCGCGAGCCCCGCGGGCGCTGCGGGAGGTGCGCGGTCCTCGGCGAACAGTTTTGTGGTCTGCGGGTCGAGAGCGGGCCTCTTTTGGTTAAGAGCTAGGCGGGGCGCGCAAAGCACTAATTGGGGAGACAGGGCGCGGGCGGGCGGGGCCTCAGGCGGCCTGAGGGCGCGGGGTGCAGGCGTCCTCGGCGAACAGGGGGTGGGGGGTGGGGAGGCGCTGCGCAAGAACCTAGGCTAGGGCCACAGCCAAAGAAGGCGGAGGGTGGAGCCGAAGCTTGAGCGGGAGCCGCGTCCAGAGGAGGGGAGGGGGAGGGGGAGAGGTTAGGGGTGGAGGGGGGGAGGAAGCAGAGGAGGAGGGGGAGGAGGAAGGAGGTGAGAGGAAGAGGAAGGAAGAGATATGTTGCGGGGGAGGTCGGGAGGGTGGGGATGAGTTGGAGGGGGAGAATGGATGAGGTGGTGGGGGGGAGAAGGCAATGTACATTTTCACTTTCGCTTTTTACTGCAGGTTTTCAAGCACGCGTGGAGAGAGCGCGGATTACGCGATAAACACCTCCCGAACTATTTGGAGATGGCTCGCACCTTCCAGACTCGGCAGTGGTGGACAACAGCGTTGGCGATGCAGTCATCTTACACGCGTCGCCAGGATGGGCACGTGCACGCGGGTATAGTGCACCAGACTGAGTGGGAAGATATTTAGGTCGACAGTTTCGGGGTAGATTGGCGAGCAAAACTGGATACTTGTACAACGCTTGCTCAGTGGATGAGGCTTTACCCAGACTTTGAAGCCCAGAGCTGCGTCCGATGGAAACTGTACAGGCCGAGGGAGCAGGAGGAGGAAGACGAACAGCTCGAAGGGCCACCGCCTGCGTGCCGATCCCGGACAGATCACCACAGCCTCGACGACTGTAGGCCACGCATGGCAAGGGCGCTCCGGCGATGCAGTGGGCCGGACCCGATCGGCATCTCTGCTTCTTCACAGACTGCGAACCCCTAACGAATGTCATCAACGGCGACGCGGCTCAATCCTGACTTTCTTCCGCTCTTCACCCGTGAGTCCGAAGAACTCTTTGCTATGGTGGAAAACGTTTGGATGACGAGCAAGCCAGAATTGAACCCTGTACAATGGCGCCGGCGATGCGTCAATAGGATAGCGGACCACATTGCGAATGACACCATGGATATCCAGCGTTCATGGTGTCAGAAATTTGCGCCTCCTGTGGACAACGTGTCTGTGCAGAAAGCGAACTATGTCATACATACTGATGGGATGATCCGCGCAAACAAGTGCTCAGAAGCAGCGTGGTTCGTCGAAGCCCATGTGCAGCTAGTTACCGAGTGGGACAGTGTCGCATTCAATTTGCATGGCGGGACGATTTATCAGCACACCACTATCTTCCTGTACGGCTGAGGCCGTAGCAGTGCAAGAAGTTGTGGACTTGATTGGGAGCTCTTGAGAACATGATTATGCGATGTTTACCTCTGCAACGTCAGTTACAGGTAAGTGCAATCGTGCTTCCTTCTAAAAAGAAAGAACAGGGGGACCAGAAGCAGGAGGAGCAGATAGAGAGAGGGAGGAACGCACGCAGGGAAGAAGGGAGGGAGGAATGGGGGCTTAGGAAGATGACGACGATGACGACGATTCTGATGATGATGATGATGATGTTGCTGATGCTGATGCTGATGATGCTGATGATGCTGATGATGATGGAGAACATGATGACTATGCTGATGATTAGGATGCGGATGGTGATGATGCTGATGATGATGATGATAATGACGATAATGATGATGATTGTGGTGATGATTTTGATGATGATGATGAGGCTGCTGCTGTGACGATGGTGGTTATGATGATGATTCCTTGGATGATGATGCTGCTGTTGATGATGCTGCTGATGATGCTGCTGACGATGGGGACAGACTGATGATGCTGCTGGTGATGATGACGATGATGATTATGCTGATGATGATAAGGATGCTGATGATGATGACGATGTGGTTGATGATGATATGGATGTTGATGTTGATGATGGTGATGATGATGGTGATTGATGATGATGATGATGCTGATGCTGATGCTGATGCTGATGCTGATGCTGATGATGATGATGATGATGATGATGATGATGATGATGTTGCTGATGCTGATGCTGATGCTGATGCTGATCTTGATGATGATGGTGATGATGATGATGATGATGATGATGATGATGATGATGATGATGATGATGATGATGAGGATGATGATGATGAGGAGGAGGAGGAGGATGATGATGATGATGATGATGATGATGATGAGGAAGAAGAGGAAGACAAGCAGGAAGAGGATCAGGAATACTAAGACAGAGGAGGGCTGGAGGATAAGGAACAGGTGGGGAAGGAGGATCCGGAGGGAAGCCGGAGCAGAGAAGGAGGGCACGGATGGGTTTGGAGGAGGGAGGAAAGCCGAGGATGGAATATGATGTTAATTGAGGAGGATGAGGAGGATGAGGAGGAGGAGGCCGTCTCCAGAGGACGAACCCCTCCCAGAGGTACCCCCTTGTCCTCTGGGAGGTCTCCGCCCACAGGCCTCCTGGAAGATTGGGGAAGGCTTCGATCTCTCAAATGCCTTCCCTGGTCCTCCACGAGGCCTCTGGTCCGGAGGCTTCCCCTGGTTCTCCCGGAGACCTCCGGGGAGACTTCCGTAGGACATCCTGGAGGTTTCCTTGGTCTTCTCGGATTGGCAGGCCTCCCCGGCCTTTTCCCGAAAACGCGGGGGTCTCCCAGAGGACCATGGGGGGTCTGCTGGGGGCCTCCTTTGGTTTTCCAGGAGGCCTCCGAGGAGGTCCGGGAGGACTCGGAGGAGGATCGTATGTTTTCTTCAGAGTTCTCCTCTCTCTTCTTCAAAATCGATCTTCCAGGACCCTAGCAGGCAGTGGACATGGATATATGAGCCAGGGTTTCCCCCCAATTCAAAGGGATCGAGTACCGCCCCTCGTTGGATGGGTACGCCCTTGAGCCTCGCGAAGGCCTCGCGAATGTGATCGCTCCCCCCCCTGTGGTCGAGGGCCTGTGGGAGTGGCGTGGTGGAGAGTGGACGTTCCGTGGCTTTCGCCGAGAGCTATCCGAGAACAAGGTCGCAGGGTTTCGCGCATAGAATCGCTCCCCCCCCTGTGGTCGTGGCCCGGTGGGCGTGGCGTGGTGGACGGTGGTGGTGGTGGTGGTGGCGGTGGTGGTGGTCGTCGTCGTCGTCGTTGTCGCCGTCGTTGTCGTCGTCGTCGTCGTCGTCGTCGTTGTCGTTCTGGTCGTCGTCGTGGTCGTCGTCGTGGTCGTGGTCGTAGTCGTCGTCGTGGTGGTGGTCGTCGTCGTCATCGTCATCGCCGTCGTGGACGTCGTCGTCGCTGTCATCGTCGTCGCCGTCGTCGTCGTCGTCGTCGTCGTCGTTGTCGTCGTCGTCGTCGTCGCCAGCATCGTCGTCGTCGTAGTCGTCGTCGTTTTCGTCGTCGTCGTCGTCGTCGTAGTCGTCGTCGTCGTCGTCGTCGTCGTCGTCGTTGTCGTCGTCGTCGTCGTCGTCGTCGTTGTCGTTCTGGTCGTCGTCGTCGTCGTCGTCGTCGTCGTCCGTCGTCGTCTTCTTCCACCCTTGTCGTCTTTGTCGTCGTCGTCTTTCAACCCCTCGACGCGGGATATGATGATTGGTCTTCCTGGGGCCAAAATTCATCCGTATCCATCGCCAGCTGTGGGCCCAGGACGTCGGTTCCCCAGCCGGTAGACAAGGATTCATCCCTGCCTCGCGGCCACGGCGTGCTTTGCCCAGGGCAGGCCGGAGTTGTTTTTGGGTCGGACCAAGTCAAGCCCTGGACGTCGGGAGGAGGGATAGGAGGGGTGGGGGAGAGGAGGGGGGAGAGAGGGCGAGGTGAGAAGGGGGACGAGGCTGGAGGACATTCTTGCCTCCCCCGTTCCCCTCCACCGTTTCCTCCGCTCGGTCGACCCGGACGGCGGGGGCCGCAGAGCGCGCCCCGAGGACGACATGACGACCGACATGCAGGAGTGCTCGGAGGGGAGTGGCTGCGCTGCTCCTGCTCCTCCTCGCCCTCCTCCTGCTCCTCCTCCTCCTCCTGCTCCTGCTCCTCCTCCTCCTCCTCCTTCTCCTCCTCCTCGTTCTTCTCCTTCTCCTCCTCCCTCTCCTCCCCGACCGACATGCAGGAGTGCTCGGAGTGCTCGGAGGATCTGCACGCAGAGGCCTTCAAGTTCTCTCGCGTTTTCGAGGCTGCCCGCAGGTGCTAGAGACTGGTGCCCCGACCCTCCCTGGTCGGACCGGGGCGTCCCAGGGCGTCCCAGACGGTCCAGGATGGACCCGGGACGGACCAAGACCAAGACGCCTGAAGATGACCGAGGATAGCGGCATGACGGTCTGAGGTGGCATCAGGATGGCCCTCGAGGCTGTCACGAGGGCCCAAGATGGCCCAAGGTGGTTTCCAAGAGCGCGCCTGAGCGCCCAAAGAGAGCCTCCAGAGACTCTCCAGGACGCCTGCGAGAGGTCGACATCTTTCAAGCACCTAAGTCAAAGCTACGGTTTTGATCGGTTTTGACACATTCGCGGCCTCGGCTCTTCATGGGCCTGTCAGGCCTCCACACGGCTCCACATTGGTTTCAAATAGCCCCAGCCCCAGGAGGTTTCCTAGACGCCTCCAAGATTCCCCAAGAGGCCTCACGAGGTACCCAAGAGGCACCCAAGAAGCCCGACGACGTTCCTGGGAGGCACCCAAGAGGCCCCACGAAGCCCGACGAGGCTCCCCAGAGGCCCGGAGAAGTCCCCATCCGACCCCAAGAGGCTCCAAAAAGCTTCCCCAGAGGCCCGAAGAGACCCCCAGAGGCACCCAAAGAGGCCCCAAACAGAGGCCCAAGGAAGGCCCGATACGACATGTTGGCTCTGCGCGGCTCCTCCCCTGAAGCCTGGCCCCCCCATGGGTTGCGGGGAACGTTGGTCAGGAGGGAAAAAAACGCACAGACACAATTAATCGTCGATTTCAAGAAGATATGAGAAAATATGGGAAGTGGGGGGGAAGACAAAACCCAGAAAATATGAGAAAATATAGGGGAATCCTGTTATTTGTGTGTATTTAGTTGTGTGTCCCAGGGCCCCTTCAGTTGGGGCTCATGGTCAAGTTGTTTACGTCCAGCAACCTGTACCAGGGTCTTGGCGCGTGACCCACAACATGACTTTCCGTGGTGCCTCCGAGAGGAGCGCATACGTGACACACATTTGAGTCCTATCCGACCTTCTTGATGGCTCCCCATCGGCAGGGCTGCCCCCCAAGTCTGCCAGTGGGAGCTTGTGCAACCCCCTCGACCAAGACAAACGATTAGGAGGATGACGAGGAGGAGGAGGAGGAGAAGGAGGAGGAGGAGGAGGAGGAGGAGGAGGAGGAGGAGGAGGGCGCCAAGCTGGACGCCGTCTTCAGATGCGGTGGCCTCGCCACCATTTTGCACGGAGCGCGAGTTCGAGGCGTCCCAACGAAGATCCTGAGCAAGGCCAGGACTATCAACGGCCAGGTCCTCGCGGGGGCCAGCGGACTCACGAGCAGGACGCTTCAGTTCGCCATCCAGTCGGGGCAGGGCTGGAGGCGAGACCCCGCCGTCGCGGCCCACAGCCTTCCGCTGCTGGCCTGGGCCAAGGCGGTGTATACCAAGCTCAGGGTCGCCAGCAGCATGGACTTGGTCTTCGAGGCGGCGAGACCCGCCCACTGGGGACAGGTCACGGGGCCGGCAGGAGCCGTGCGCCTCAGCCTCGACCGCATGGGATGGCAGGCGAACTCCTGGCACGTATGGACCACGGACAAGGGGGAGCGGCTCGACCTCCAGGTCCACAGCCCGAAGCTGCTCGGGATGCTGGTAGAGCGTGGAGTGCAGAGGTCGCTGCTCAGGCAGGTGCCTGACCACTTCCACGGGCAGCTGGAGGGGCCGCCGACCATGTACCCGCTGCGCGCGGCGTTGGACTCCCTGCGCGCGCTGGGGGACAAGGAGCAGTTGTCGCTGGTGGAGTCCCTGGTCTGCGGTGGCCTCGTCTCCCAGAGCAACTTGTTCGCGGAGCGGGCGGTCACTTCGGCCGATTGCCAGTGGTGCGGGAACGGCATGGGCACGCACCACCACAGGCTGTTCTGCTGCGAAGGGACGGCGACAGTGGCGAAGGACATGGGCCTGGAGGAGCTACGCGTTGCAGGCGCCAGGGCAGAAGTCACGGACGTGGGCTTCATCCGGTGTCTTGTCCCGCTGGGGCTGGAAGCGGCGCCGCCTCCAGATGCTGAAGAGAAGTGCCTTCGCGCGGGCTCGCTCCTGCACGGGGGCTTTTCGGGCACTGTGTGCATTGACGGCTCGGCCCTGTTCCCGCAGACGGTCGAGCTCACGAGAACGGGGTGGGCTTGCATCATGATTCAGGATGACGGCAAGATCGTCGGCGGGCTGCTGGGCACCGTGCCAGGCGTGTGCAGGAGATAGGCTTCGCGGAGCTCTATGCGCTGGTGAGGGCTCTTCGCGAAGCCGAAGCGGTAGAAGGCAATTTGAATGTGATCACGGATTGCAAAAATGTGCTGGACGATTACCTGAAGGGGCCCGCCTGGTGCCTCAGCCCACAGTGCAAGTACGCGGAGCTTTGGCACGAGGCGTGGTTCCGGATTCACGACCTGGGGGAGAGATTCGAGCTCCACTGGGCGAGGGCCCACACCAGCTGGGCTGCAGCTGAGCGCGAGGGCACGCCCGCTCACTGGCACATCGGCAATAAAGAGGCCGACAAGCGGGCCAAGGAAGGCGCTCAGCTGCACGGGGACTTCGCGCAGGTCGAGGAGCTGGCCACCAGAGTGAGCTCGGCGACAGTGGCGGCGACCCGCCTCTTGCGCCACCACGGCGCGGTTTTGAAGAAGGCCGCTGGTGCGGGGTGGCCGGATCGGGGTGCGCTTCCCCCCCTTGCCCCGAGCAGCGCCTCTCTCTCATTTCCAACGACAACGGGCACGCTTTGTCCTGTCTTGGGAGGGCCTGGGGCTGTAGCAGATGTGGGGTGCGGAAGGGGCTCCGATCTCGCATCGTTTGCCACCCTTGCCCAGGCGTGCCGAGGCCTGCGGCAATCGCCCATCCCTCCCATAAGCTTTGGGTGGTTCGGGGTGGGCGGGCGGACGCGGGTGGGAAGGCTTCTGGGCGAGATGAGGCGATTGTCTTCTGTAAGTTGTGCGGGGCTTATGCCCGCAGGCAAACTCACGGTCTCGCCCTGGTCTGTCGCCCCTGGACTTCGCGTTCTCGGGACTCGGCTCGTCTCGGTCGGATCGCCCTGGGTCGCCTCCTGGCTGGTCGTGAGCCCCAGGCCGATGTCTTTTGGGGACTGCCGTTCCCGCTCGCTCGTGCTTCG